CACTTTTATTTTTAAATACACTTGATGATTGATAATAAATACAAATTCTGTATTTGAAAACATCATATCGCACAAACGCCTCAATTAATTAGTTCTTATTGTTCATTTTATTCTTTTTTCTTTGAGGAAATCGTCATGTTATGCAAGCGTAGATTTAAAAAAAGATTAATTGATGGAAAAAAGAGAGCAATTCAAATCTAACATTTTTTGAGTTGGCTAAGCAACAGTTATTCCAATTGTTCATTATAATAAAATAATGAGAGCATTAATTTATTTTATGAGGTGGATAGAAAACGGCTAAAGTGCATTTCTTCCTGCCTTGCGTACTTTACGTGTGTATTGCCTGTTATTGAGACCTCACTATTCAAGAGTTAATTTGAATTAGGCTGAGAAAAGCATATATCTTCAATTTAGAATCGATCAGTCATTCAAAGTAGGATGAGATATCGACAATGATCCTTTATAGAATTATGTTATGAACTACTTCGGGCCGGGAGTTTTATAGATCAAGACATTAATAAATAAACGTTGTTGAAGTTGAACTGTATAGATATTAATAAATAAACGTTGTTGAAGTTGAACTGTGTAGATTATAGCAAGTTAAATCATAATTTCAGATTTTAAAATATCAAATCATAAATTCAATTTATTAGAAAATTTAGACATTAAGTTGAGAAAGGTTAAATCAAAATTCAAATGGTTGGTATGATTAAAACAGCACAACGAACATTTTCATACCAAAAATTACTTCATACTTTCTCTGCTTTGATACGTATAATATCGACTTCCGCAATTAATTGATTATATCATAAATTAGAATAAATGTATTTGATAAAATCGTATTACTATAATTTTATTATTGATAAAACTTGACAAAGTTTTTCAATCTCTTCCCCCTGAATTATTTAACGATTCGATCCAAAAAATGAATTATATTGAAATATCATAATTGTTTCATTTTGTTCCATTTTTTATTCATTAATAATATATTACTACCCATAATTTACATTATTACAGGATGTATATAAAATTTACATACCAATTGGATATTTGATTTTTTTTTTCATTCAGTTTAAAAAATTCAGTTACAAAGTTTGTACTTCAATTCTTAGCAATTTTATGATATATTTTTTATTTGATGTTGTCAAATTTGCAATAGAGCATTTGCCAGAATTTATAAACTTGAATACAATTAAGTATGAATAAATGAGATCGAAGTAATTGTTGGATAAACATAGAATAAACAAAGTAAAATTAGCAAAAATTACACATTCTCCTACATCTCACTCTCATATACCGTGATAGTTGACAATATATTCTTCGTCTCGTGCATAATTCAAATGGATCAATATCCACACATGCTGAAAATGAATTTATGATGAAATTATCAAAAAATTGAATATAATTTACTTGTTTACTAATTATCTCACTGATAATTTAAATATTGTAAATCAAAATATGCAATATTATAAAGGTGAAAATAAATTTATTGAAAATTATGTAGAGAATAGAATTTTCTTACACTTTTTCAGTGATTAATTGATGAGTAATTAATATGTTCAAAAAATAGATATGTTTATATTGATCATGACATTGAATAGATATGTTTATATTGATTATGATATTAAATAAACATGTTTATAATAATTATGACGATATTATTGCCATGTAATATTCGTCGACGATAAATTAACATTGATTGATAAGTAGGAATTGTTAATGACGATAATTACTATCAGATACCGATGGTAAATTCGCAATAAAGTAACTTGCCGCTCGTTCTAATTCTTGAATTGACACGATTTCTCGGGATGTCTTGTTGAAAACTTCTTGCTGGTGGTGATGGTGGAAATGGTTGACGCTGAAAAGGTACTGCCATTGTCCTGAAATCAATACTGTATTACTTCATGTATCTCGATTGTTTAGACATACATATCATTACATTCCAAAAAGTTGATTAACTAAATCAAATGAATAAAAATATGTATTTTAGGTATAAGTAATGTAATTTAAATTGTGCATTTTAGACTACATTTTTTTCTAAATGTTATGAAGTTTTTTGAAATAAAATTTGTAATGCAAGAATTTAATAAAATTGAATCTCTTAGAAAACCAATTAAAAATCATAATTCAAAAAAAGAAGAAACAAGCAATAAGCAAGTAAAACAAACCGGTTGAAATTTCGTTGAAATCGATTATTTGGTAAAATTTTAAAAATGCGTTGCAGTGATTGTTGCTTAGCTAACCTTACTCGATTATTTCGAGTTGGTATGAATGGCTAAATATAAAAAGAGAAATATGATTTAGAAAAAAATAAAAGAAAAAAGAAGATTGTATGATTTGCTTTTCCTTGTTACTAAATAGAGGAAAGAATAATTCATTAATTTTTATGATTAGTATTTTTTATCGTGAAAGTTGCTATTTTTAATAATCTATTGATTCAAAAAGAAAAAAAATCTCATTCGATTAGTGAAAATTAACTAATTGCTTTTCTATTATCAGTAATATCGAAGCAAATAATTACAATCGAATTTGAGGTTAACGGTGATGGTTGTTGTCGTCGTGATAAAGCAGCAATCGATGATATCGGTTGAGCGATATTTGATTGCGATGTTGGTGATAAATTTTGAACAGATGTGGGTCGAGTTTGTGATACACTTATCAATGGTGATACTGATGGTCTAACAACGGTAACTCGTGTTGAAGGTATTAATGGCGATGTTAAATTTGCATTCAATCGATTTGATATCTGTACAACCTGAAAATATCAGTAAATTATTCTTTTTCACTTAAATACGTTTAAGCGTTAATATAGGCATGAACTTAATTAATGCAATGTTAACTATATGTGCTAAAAGTTATTAATCATTTAGTTCAGTTTATTTCATTGAAATGCAATAATTAATTTATAAAGAAAAATTTATTTCAATATTTAAAATACAACAATTTGAAATAACATGATAAATAGAAAATTTATTTGAAAATAATAAGAAATTGCTGGTATTTTTTGACTAAATGAATCAAACAATAATATAAGAATTATTCTAATTAATATAAGCTTAATTAAAGATACAATGTAATTAGTTCATGTAATGCAACGCGTGCAAACAGACCTTAAAGAAATCTTGAATTCTTTGAGGTTTTGGTGTATTATCAGCATCGTTCGGTACTAACAGCAACAAATTCCATTGTAAATCATTATCCAACGCATCAAACATTTTAAATGTATCCAATTTGAATTTATTTGCCTGAAATTTTCAAATCATACATATGGCCAGTCAACATAAAATATGCAATTAATGTGATAGCATATAAAATTAAAAATTAATTGCAAAAACAGGAAAAATATTTTACTGAAAAAATTTTTGCATGTTGATTATGTATGCATTTGTATGTGTGTGTGTCTGTGTATGTGTGTGTGTGTGTGTGTGTGTGTGTGTGTNNNTGTGTGTGTGTGTGTGTGTGTGTGTGTGTGTATGTGCACTTATTGTATAGCATTTATTGTATGCATATTAATTGTATATGTATTTATTTGCTTATTTGTATAATTGCTGAACAATTTAATTAAATATTTATTTAACACACTTGAAATAAGCGATTCAATAACAAAAAACAATTCATTTTTCTGCAAATGTAATAAGATTAATTTCACGTGATGAATTTACCACAGGAATAATTTAATTGCTGTGAAATTGTGTTATAAATGATGAAAATCTATTCAGCAATAATTATTGCTCAAATTTTATAATTTATCATTACTTATGGTCGATTAATTATTTGTTACGTATAAATTTGCAGGCAAAAAAAATCAAAGTGCTTTCGTTAGGATGGAAAACAGTTAATTGGCTTTTCATTAATATTTAATAGTTATTGTAATTACTAAGGAAAAAAATGGATTATCAGTTAATTGAGCTAACATTAGCGTTGGTTTTAGTTGTCAAACAATCAGCTATTGCTAATTTGGAATATTTAAAAGCATACCGTTACGAAATGTGCCGATATCCTCCATTTTGTGCAACGTTTTATTTCACGTTTGAAAATTCTAATACATAAATGGTAAATAATATTTTTGAAAAAACTTAATTACTAATATTTAACAGTAATTGTAATTTATAATTCTGTCAAGAGGGGAAGAAATACGCTTTAATTTATAAATCAAATAATGGCATAACTGAAATATTTCCATTATTTCCCCCTTTCTTTCCATTTAGTTTGATAAAATTTCATAATCAATTTACAATTTGGTAAGATTTAACATGACTAATTGTCGAATATTTTTACATTTGATTATTTTTGATGAAAACAAACCTGAAATTTACAAGCATTTCCATCGAAACCTGTTTATATTATCCTCTTTTGTTGCAACTTATTATACTATTATTTTGATTATTAATATTATTGCTGAATACTAATATCATTACTGTTGTTGTTGTTGTAGCATTATTGTCTGAGCAAAAAAAAGAGAAAGTGAAAGGGAAAAAAGAAATTCACTTACAATAACTTCTGTAAACTTTATAAATGGAAAAAAAGTTGACATTGATATCATAAATTAAAATTTGTGACATTTGAAATTTTTTTTATGCATGAAATTTTTGTAAAAAATTATAGAATTTTCTGTAGTTCAATTTATTTTGTTTGTCCAACGTGTAAATTAATGCGTAAAAATTCGCAAATTATTTTGGTCAAAATTAAAATCGCTTTGGAAATGTTTCAGTTAATTTTATATTTTAATGTCAGATGGAATGTTTTGCGTGGAAATGGCATTTATTTTGTAAATGTTCCATCATAATTTTCATCTTTTGCGTCTGTTCTTTTCTGGATAAGCAACCGTTTTCTTTTTTTGCTTTACATTTACACGTCTTAAATTTGAAGAATTAAATTCATTATTATCAGAAGAAAGGAATATCAGAAGAAATTTTGAATTTGAATAATCAAAAGAAAAAAACTTATGAATCCCAATAATCAAATGTATTTGTAATTTTATAAATTTGAAAAACTGATTAATATTCTTAAAATACTTAAGTTTTTTTCTGCCAGCATGTATTTCTTCAATAAGAAATAATATGGAAACTTTGACAAAATTTTAGACATCTAAATCAATCAAAAAAAGTTTTGGAAAATAAAACAATTTTCATTTTTTTTCATTCAGTCGTAACCACCATAATTAATATTGATCAATTAATTACAATTTACTCCTTTCTCTTTTATTGTTTTATTTTGTTTTTCTGCTTTTTTTTCGCTTTTGAAAGAAAGAGAGAGAAAGAGAGAAAATCAGAAGTATAGCAAACATATAACAAATACATTGTTTATTTAAGCATACCATATTAAATAAGCATAATTTTTTATTTAAGTAAAACTTCCTGCGCAAAATGACGAACCGGTGGTGGTGGTGTTATCGGATCCGGAATGTATTCTTCGATACCGCTCTTTTCTATGCGGCATGGCGGTATTGGTATTGATTTGACTGATTTAACCCAAAATTCTTTCTGTGCCTTAACCACAGTTGCCCTAAAAACAAGAAGCATTAATACTGGTAACGAACCATTTCTATATTTCCCAATTTTACATTTGATACAATAATTTGAAATAAAGAAGTGTTGACAAAGCATTAAAAAAATGTTGATAAAATGATAAAACAGTATGAAATCATTAATAAAATGACGAAAAAAGGAAATGATAAAAATTGTGCTAAGAACAAAGTTATTATGCCATTTTTATCTTTCAGATGAAAAATTCTTAATTAATCACTTAAACGATGCACCAATTCATTAGCGCATATTCAATCAACAACCAATCAATTAATCAATCAATGCAATGAATCAATTTTCAGGAAGTTTCAATAACTTCTAATTAACTATAAACTAAATTAAAACAATTTTACTTACACAAATTGTACATAATCATCGTCGTTTAATTCATTTTTCCACCATAATTTGATATGTTTTTTCTTTTCGTCATGCGAATGTGTCACCGAATTTTTGAAGCGAAAACATTGCTGTTGCCAGGAACCGTTATCGTCCAATCGCAGAAACTGTCCTACTCTTGAGAAAAAAACCGAAGATTAATTAAGAAACTAATTTCTTTTTTCAATTTTTCAAATTCATTAAAATGCATTACTCAGTCTTCTGCAAGTTATTTTTTTGCACAAATTTTTATTACTATTATTTTGGAAGTAGCTTATTTTTAGGTAATTTTAAATCCTACTACTAAAAAAAAGGTAGCCATTAATTTTTTTTTTTTGAATTTGAACCGGATATTATTTTAAATTACGTAAAAATGACCACAACGAATAATGATAATTGTCAGACTGCGAAATAAAAATGAAAATTTATTAAAAATTTTCTTTTCCTTCATTTAGCCACTGACCTTTTACCTCGATTTGGTCCTCTGTAAGAAATTGGCTGAATAGCAAAACCGCGAAATCGATCAGTACTCGTATTTCCTTTCAAATTTACTACAATTATTCTCTAGTATTATTATTATAATTATCATTATTATTATCATTACTCTTATCGCTATTACTATAATATTTATTATTAGTGCCAAAATTGAGTGCATTAATGAAACATTAAATGTTTAATCAAAATTATTGCCCCATGTATTGCATGTAATAATAATTAAATAAAAATTTTAACCACAAACTGGAATAATCACTTAAGATTTTTCGTCAAATCATTAGCAAAAAAAAAAAAAATAATTTCTATTCTAACAAAAAATATTACGATTAATGCAGTTGGTTTTTTATTATGTAATAAAAATTTATTATCCAATAATAAAAAATTTGTTATATAATAAAGTTAACTATCATTACATTGAATTCTGAATTTTATTTGTTTAGTCAATTATGCATTAAATTCATACCCAAAATTATATTATTAACAAAAATTTTTCCTTCATATGTATGTGATGAATAGTAAGTGTTGAAAAAAAAATATGTAACAAAATTTTTAATTACTATATGATACAATGTTAAAAAAAGCACACATTCAATAGGTTGATTTATCCAATAACACTTTTGCCGAACTTCAATATGATATGGTGGAACAGTAAGCTAAAAAAAAAAAACAGGTTAATTATATAATATGATTGATAATTATCATACAATTTTTTAAATCAAAACAAGGAAATCAAAATTATAAAATCTCAATTAGTTTTTAAATCACCCTATTATTGGTCAACACAAAATTTTGCAACTGAGTGTAACAAAATCAAAATTATTAAATGTTATGGAAAATAGAAGAAAAATTGCAAATGTTTTAATTGATTTTGTAACCGGCACCTGTAAACCACCCTGATGCTCAACTGCTTCAAGTGGATTCATCGATTCAAAGACAGCATGAAGGCAAGGTGCACCGTCGGGCCAGCTTATCACCATTGTTATCAATGATAGTATCACCAGTAATACTTGTAAAAAGTACATTCTGGAATATCAAAATTTGCTCTAAAATTAAGCCAAAAAAGCAAATATTGAAAAAGGATACCATTTTCAAAATAATAATCAACACTTCATTTGTTCACGCAGCAAATATGCAAGCAGCGTTTTTTATTTCATGCAACTTACGAGAACATGCTATTAATCATATCACTGAAGCATACATATGTGTTTACGTGATTTATGAAAATGGACTTTAATCAATACTGGAAATGAAATACTACGGCAATTAATCAAAATTTTTATTAGAAATAGAATACTTCTGTTAAAAAATGTGCCGAAAACAATTTAAAAATTTGCAAATTTTGTTAACAAATCCCAATAACTAACTTTTTTTTCTATTTTGAAATCCTGCATTAATTATAATACAGTACAGTATTACTCAATTATACTAAAATTGTTTCATTATTTAAATTTTGAGCGAAAAAATAAAAACGAAATCATTGGGATTATCGTAAACACTCAATAAACAATAAATCATTAATCTTTTTTTTTTTTTTTTGAAGTTACATGCGATGCATTTTAATGGGAATTAACATTAAATGATAAAATAAAAATAAATTTCGAAATGAAAAATGGAAATGTACGTTGAAAAAGAAATTTTTTAGCAATCGAATTCAAACAAAATTTGAGCCGGTTTGATGCGTTAAAAGATGCTTGAAAGGTACCCGATGATATTCGTTTCACACAACACCTCCCATTTCTTAAATATATTACAACTGTTGCTATTAAAATCATTTTAATTTTTCCGTTTTTTTTCTTTTTTTGATTCTCTCTTGAAGTTTTAGAATTTTTTTGTTTTTTTTTTCAAAATATTTACTATACGAATTATTTAAATAAAAATACTGTAAAAAAAGTTTTTATTAGTTTTCTCCGAAATACAAAATTAGGCATAACAAATACCGCATGATTGACAATTTTATTAATAAATTATTTTTTTGGTCAAAAAGCTGCTTGAAAAATAATAATTAAAATTAGTAATTAAGGAACTGAGAAGAAGGAATTATTTGATATAAATGTCTGGCACAATTTTGGTGCAATAATTTTCAACATTTTTCAAAATATAAATTTGGATTTAACTAAATTTCATGCAGCGAACTGATATTCGTTGATGTCAAAAATGTTAGGAAATTTTGAATTATTTTTTTATTTTAAAGAAATTTGGCTAGTTTTTTTTTTGCACTGCATTAATTACAAAAGTAATTCTTTTGATATTACAAAGAGTTTAATATCAATGTTAAAAAGATAACACGAAAATTTAAAATATCAGTAATTAATTAATTGCATTACACGTTTTTGCTATGATCAATGCTATAAACGGTAAATTTCAACAAATTATTTATAAAACTTGTTATTAGTAGAGGAAATTGTACCTTTTCCTTCTTTTTAGGTCTGTTAAACGAATTATTTAGATGTTTTTGTTAATTTTGAAATAAATAAATATTAATAAAGATAATCATATTACATTAATTTGATATTGCTAATGTTGTTATTATTGTTGCAGCAGTAAAAAATTTGAATGCTCGAGTGATAGGCAATTTATCGTTTTGAATAAAATTTTCAAGTTATAGTTCACTTTACACAAATAATCAAACTTGAAATGAAACGACTGGTTGCTAATATTAAGCAATTGATAAAATGTTATAAGTATAAAGAGAAGCAAATAATGTGTGAAACATTTTTTGATTTCACATTGTAAAAGAAGAAAAACTTGATTGAAGTAATTGGAATAATAATTTATTTTATAACATTAATAATTTTTTTAGTGTTCATCAAACAATATGCAGTTGGATAGAAAGCTAAATCAAAGGAATTTAAAAGTAATTTCCGATTTCTATCAAACCTCAACAGTTGAAAAAAATAATATATGATGCATCAAATTGAAAGAAGAAAGAGTAATAGTAATATTATCAATAATAATTGTTGATTAATAAATTTTCTTAATCATTTATCTTTAATTGTCATTTGATTTTTACTATAATCCTATTGTGATGGTTTATGAATTAAAAATTTTTCATGAGGAAATAGATGATTACATTGACTTGATCGGTTTAGCTTGTAGCCTATCTGCTTTTAACGATATACACATAACAAATAAGCAGTACGATCCTTCATTTATAAAATGAAATTAAAAAATAAGTCAAATTAGATTAAATTATGCTAAGAACGAAGAATAATTTCACTTCCGTGCTATCAATCAATATATAGATCAAATTAAATTGAACTATATGAATGGATTGTTATTAATTTGCATTATTAATCAAAAATGGTATCAGTTACATCAATTCTGCACAATCAAATATTTCGAATTTTGCACTACTAGTAAAAAGTCAGATTTAGGTCAAATCTGATCAGATTATTAGTTTTTGCAAATTCCAAAAAGTTCCATTTAGTTCATTTGAAGATGTATTTTGTCATTTCTGTTTTCAATTTTGTATGTGTTTTTATTTGTTTTTAACTTGACATTCTCTATCAACAACTTTAACTAACTTTTAACTTTCATTAATTAATGTCAGTGTGATTTATTTCTTGTACAAAATAAAGTTTAAAAAAGGATATATTGAAGCAGAGCCGTAGATTTTTCAGAGTTAAAAGAATAAAAAGTATTAAATAAATTAGTGTAAACTGAAAAGAAATGCTATTATAGCGAAATTTCAGAAATAAAATGAGAGAATTATGTAGGCAAAAATGAAATTAAAGTCATGATTGAATAATAAAATAGAAAGAGATTTTAAAAAATTTTTTAAATGATATTTGAGGACAGGTTGAAATGTTATTCAATGCAAAAACAAATACTTCTAACTCGAAGGGAACTAAATCAGTAAATAACTTTCATTAATATCGATGGAAGAAAATGAAACTGGGAAAAAAGTGCAGAAAATGTTTTATTTTGATGAAATATTACAAACTAAATTGATTCAAATTAATTCAGTTTTATTTCCATTTTAAAGTATAATCAACGGCGCAAACGAATTGTCATTTTTTCCGTCGACAAATGAAAATACGATTATTAGAATTTGTGATTTTATTCAATATTCTTTTACATAATATCCATCTATTAAATACTTGTTTCTTAAAACAAACATTTACTTAATATTCATGTAGCATTAAATAATTTGAACAGTATTTCAATATGTTTATTAGAACTTAATAATATTTTGTTAAGTGGCATGGATGGAATGGAATTAAATCAAATTTTGTTTATTTATTTGATAATAAAATTTAAAATCTTAGCAGTCCAATTTTTTTCCAGATATTGGATAAATTTTCCTTTTAAATTTAGTGGACGGAGAATGAGATACTATTCATAATAAATTATTTACAGCTAATTTTTAAGTAATAATAGATTATTTGCAACTAATTCTTATTATTCAATCTAATACACGTTTTAATATTATTAATGCCAATTGTTTTGTAAAAATTGATGTTGCACTGACGGAAATAGCAAAATCATATAAAATTTTCTTCTCGAATTTTCATTTCGTTTAACCAAGAGAAAAGTTTAATTTATGATTTATTTCAAGTAAATTTCACAAATTAATAGAAATATTTGTCAAATAATTTTATCATCTATTATAAAGAAACTGTCAATATCAATTTTTTTTTTTGAAATTTATAAAATGAATAATCGTGTTTCTATTTATTCTAAACTTTTTACTAAAGTCGTCGAGCATGCAAATAAATTAAAATGTGACAACATAAAGCAAAAAGTTTGCATCAAAACATTAAATGTGGAATACGTCGTTTAGGTGGAGAAAAGTAATTTAACCAATTTCAAAAAAAAAAAAACGGGATGAAAATGGAAAATTTCTTAAAGAAACGGGTGAAAAATTCACATGTTTTTGTACTTCTTTCTAATAAAGAAAAAAATTTTTCATTTTTTTTATTGTTTTGTTTAATGAAGTGCGACGTCTTAAAGCGTGTTTGTGTCTATTCTTTAATTTTTCTTTTTTTAAATTTTTTTTATTGAAGTATTAGAAAAAATGCAATGAAACTGCATTCAGGATCTTTGCATTTCCACTAAATGTTCCATTAGAAAGGCAAAAAATAAAGCAGAAACGAAATTTACAAAATTTTTTAGTTCACAATTATTCTTTAATTATTGCTAAAAAATTATTTGAATAATAAAGTAGGCAAAATCAAACTGTAAATTTTTTGTTATTTTATGTAAGAATTAATTTTTTATAGTTTCCACATGAATGTCATGAAAAATTTCTTGAAAAAAAAGCCGAAAACTGATATTTTCATTCAATTTTGCTGAATAAATTTTATTATGAATTTCTGAGTAATTTTTGAAGAATGTTATTAAATGTAAGTAAATTTTTCCACTTCTGTTCCTGCTTCCACAGCCAACAAAAATTCGTTCCAAAAAATGCTTATAGACGAATAAAACTTTCTTGATTTCCAATTAATAAATATGTTTAACTCCAGCAATTTGAAAATAAAAATGAAATATTTTAAAAACTCCCATTATTAAAGATTTGATTTTTTCCCAATGAAAGAATTGCAGTGAGTTACCTTTGACCTAACAAGCTCGAGAGAGCTATTTCAGTGATTATTCTTCAGCATCATCAACGCAAAAGCAATTCTGATGATTAAATTTCCACCTGACAAACTTAGAAGCAATTCTAATGCTTACTCACTCCTCGATCAGATAAACATGAAGACTATTATAGTGACAATTCTCCGATCCAATAAACTGTTATCTACTATTTCTCGAGAATATTTCAAAAATTATCAAGTTATAATTAAGAAGCAATATTCGTTCTACGAAGCAAACCCATCATTTCAAGCACTGTTCATTGAATGTAATTTATTAAACAAATTTTACGGGTTCAGCTTTTCATGCTGATAAATTTTTTAAAACTTTGGTTTTTAAAATAATTCTTTTTTAATTTATCAATCGTTATCACTCTTACTTTCAAATTTTCTGTTCTGTGTGATTATCGATATCACTGGTACTTCAATAATAAAGAATAAAAATAATCAAAATGTGGACAAAATCGTTTCAGAAAAAATGTTGTTATTTATTGATGCAAATTTGATATTATTAAAAGAATGAAATTATACCCATAAAATTAGCAACAAATAAATAAAATAATTCGATGAAATTAATGATGGCGGTGGATAGAAAAAAAAAAGAATATTAGAGTTGTTAATTAGCTATTTTACAATGTGTGATTTAAATTTAGCAGGCTATGGCATGAAATTCAAAATATTTTAGACTTTTGAGTTTTTTAGTTCAAAAAGTTTAAATTTTTTATATAAAAATTAGAATTATCAAAGAAATCACCAAAAAACGTGTTGTAAAAGAAAATAATTAATTTAATTTTTGTCGAATAAATAATTATTTAGAGAAACAAACAAAAGTTAATAAAATTGCCTTTATCTAAAATATTCAACAGTTGCAGGTGGTTTTAACGTTTCCAATGATTTTACTAATTACTCCTAAAGTTGACTAATTATTAGTAATAATAATTAGCAGTTTAAGAGATTAATGATTTTAATACAAGTAAGTCAGATTTAGTAGTTTTGTATAAATTTAATATTATAGTAAAAAAAGTCAGTTAATTGTTTGCATTAATAATTAACAGCTCAAATATTTAATAATAATTAAATAATTCAATGGCCGACTGCTCAATGCCGACTATTAAAATTATTTTTTTAATCTTAAATTCAGACTTTTCCAAGGAGAGAAGCGGAATGTACCGATAATTTTGCATACATGCATGATATAATAACAGTGATATCTTACTTTTCAATATCAGTGATGAAATTTGTGAACTTATCCAAATTATCACTATTTTGCATAGCGTTAATTCAAGGAAGTCAACAGTGCGGTACGAAACAAATAAAAAGTTAAATATTTATTAATGATTTGAAATAAATGAGAAAAATGAATTAATTGATCATTTTCAAATTACCGTAAATGAATTATTAATTTTAAATTCAATTTCCAATAATTGTATTCTTCTTTTTCTTTCAAAAATGTACATGTCGTAATTAAGTCTTTGATATTTAAAATTGCTATTTATTAATTTTTTTTTTGATCAGCTCTGATTAAAATGTTTGTTGTTGGAGCAGTGAATAAATCATAAAAATTGACGACATGAAAGCATTAAATTGGTTGTTATCTTTAGATAGATACATTGTATGGATTTAATTAATGTAATTAAATGACATGATAGGATAGAACTTGTTAGGAGATTATATCAATGATGTGGTAGTATAATTTGAAAGCTAATGAACAAAAAATATGACAAAATATTACAGAAAATACTTCCAGGTCATGAATGATATCATCAATTTATCAATCATTTTCTCTTTGCTGTAACCCTTTTAACATCTTCTTGATAGTCTTCAAATGTATTTTATTCGCAGAACAGCATTAAATTTATTGTTATCTTTTTCATACTATTTTGTTGCAATCAATTTTAGTGCTAAAATAAGATAAATATTTAGGTCACATTTCTTAGTGTTTAACCTTTTCGAAAATGATATTTAAATTAACTTTTTTTACACGCTTGACCTTTTTAATCAAATACATAGTATTCAACGGAAATCCTTCAAATATTTTCTTAACTGTAATTCATGTTAATTGATAACTAAATTATTGTAAAATTCATAAATATTTACAAATGCTCACATCCTTTTCAATCTGATTTCTTTCGTTATTTTTTCCTACATATTTATTTGTACATATGCAAATTTATTTCATTTTTATAAGTAAACTTTTGAGCGAAAAAAGATTAAAAAATAAATTGTGCGAAAGAACCATTGGTAATTGCATTTTATTATGTTGAATGACAATTTTTTGTGTAAGTAATATAATGTATTCTAAGAATTATGTAAATACATTTGCTCGATTGGTGTGGCATCGTTTCAAAAAACACTAAACAAACATTTTAAATTAATTAAAATCAGACTACATTAAACTAAACCAAACAAATAGCTCAAATTTTTGAAATCGTACATAGAAATTACGATAAATTCCAAATAAGATTTCATATGAGAAAACAAATGATGCAAAATTTCTGTGTCAATGAATTTCAAGACATTTCTACAACAATTCTTTCTTATAAACTATAAACGTATGGTGTCAAACGTTTACAGATTACGTGTTTCTATCATCCAAACCATATGAACGTATAACATTAAACACTCATGTACGTAATTTTACGTAGTTCCATATTTATTTCTGACTTTTGCTGAACATTTTACTGGTAGAATTTATGTTTAAAATAATTTAATAATTATAACAACAGGGAATTACTAATTCAATGCAACTTTTTTTTATGTTGGGAAAAGTTTTTAGGAAAGTTTTTAAATTTGTTGCCGTTATATAAAAGTTTGTAAAATAATATTTTAGCGTTATAATCAATATTTTATCATCATCATTATCATGTATGCTATTTCATAAATAATTTCTTGAAATTATCAATATTTGCTTTCTTGACGTTATTGACATATCATTCGATAACTTTATTTATCATTTATCTTAAAAATTCGATCAATGAATCTTAAAGTTTGTCTTATTATTATATTTCAATTGTTAAAGCAATGTGAATGATTAATTTGCATATCGTTCTCGATGCTGAAGTGTATATAATGCATAAACGAAAATGAACGCTTTTTGCGCAAATAGGAAAGCGTACGAACGAATTAAATGTATATGCAAATTAATTGCGATATGATTTTATAACTGATTATTCTCTGCTAGCTCGTAATTTCATATGTTAGGTGTGCGACTCGCTTGCGGTTGTATTTTGCTTATGCACACGTTTTATTTTGCTGATGTTATATTTTTACTAACGTGTCTTTGTTCCCTACATGAAATATTCATGGGTATATTAACGCGTTTTACTCATACTAATATATTTTCAATGCTTACAATTCCCACGTATATAATTGACGTATGATGTTTTAATAACGACGTGTTTTTGATTAAATGTACAATTTATGCATAAAAATAGCTTAGTACAGTATATATTTATTTAAAAAGATGAAACTATATTATTTTGTGAATATTTTTGCTCAACGAATAAAAAAATCCGTAAATAAGTGAGTAAAATGAAAGATATGCTTGACAAAAAAAAAGAATCGATTACTAAGTAATCCAGTTTCTGTCTATTCGATTAAGTGATTGATTTAGACTGAATTATTTAAAAAAAAAAACATGTGTTTTAAAAACTTTAGTTCAAAATTTAGCACGAAATTTTAACAATTCATTTTATAAAATGGACAATTTCATAATATTAATATAAAGTTTGATCTTCTTTTGTGCAAAAATTTTAAATTGTTTGTGTTAAGTAATATTTCAGCTTAGAACACGTTAAAACAGGAAATCAGTGCGTGATGAATACCGCGAACAATAATGACCGGAGGCGTTGTTCCGTCATTACTTTGTTAAAGAAAGGATATGATGTCCTCAAACGATTCGTCATCAGAAAATCCATTCAATTGAATGATAACAGTATCACTTCGATATCATCTGATAGTGATATTCCTGCTATAATTGATGGTAATATTTCTAGCATATCTGATAATAATAAATATTTAAATCATTATATTTAAATCCCTAGCAAGTCAGAAATTATATTTAAATTTACAGCAAGTCAATCAGTATTGGTATGAATGGATCATTCATTTCCGATTCTGTTAATAGACTGATAATTTTATTTCCTAATTAACTCACTTGTTAGTTACATACTGCATGCTATCATCAGTTTATTTGCTATTCAATAATCGATTCCTTTAACCATCAAAAATGTGAATTTTGAGTGTGAATTTTATCAAATTTACATATGACATTGCAGACTTTACTCTTTTCATTTTTTTGAAAATTAAAAAAGAAGTATTATTTAGATTCAGATTTATCAAGCGACATTGATCCGCAAGTGGATTTCTTATTTGATATTCCACCAAGACGAACAAATTTCTCATCACAATTTCTCAGTGATATTGGTAATCAAGAAAACAATAATGAATTGATTGAAATATCGGATACGGAAAGAGGTTTGATTAGTTAATTGCAACAATTTTGCAGATTAGATTTTTGGTAGGTAATGTATTCATGCTAAGAAAAGATAAATGATATGTGACAAATTATCATGTTCGGCTATAAAATTTAAACTGAGATGACGGTAAAGTAAAATAAATTTAGCACAGAATAATGATAGTGGTAGTAATAATAATAATAATAATAATAATAATAATAACGATAGTATTAACAATTGTTAATAATAATAGCAATAGTAATAATAATCATTATAAAATAAAATGAGATAGACCTGTCACATACAAAGATTTTCTCGGGAGAGTACAGACAGAGTCAGAGGTTGTAGAAAGATCGAACAGAGGTGAATTGATGGGAATAAAAATCATGATAAGTGGAATGAGATAAGAGTGACAGGTGCTGGTCGATTAAGTGAGTGTGGAAGTGATATAAATGATGTTATTACGATAAAAAAGGAATGAGTGAGACCAATAATGACCACAGTAAGATGAAATTAACATCAAGTAAGATAGAACTGCCGCAAATAATGATATGATAAGATGAATTTGATAATAAAAAGTGATTATCAATATCATTGATATAAAGCATGGGCTAATATTAATAATACTTTTATTCATATTTATCATGAAATAAACAAGTTAAAGGATATAGTATTTTTCATCATTCATTTTATGCATATAATACCGCTATTTAAATACTCAAACAATTAAAAGTTAAAATTCTATCAATGTTTATTTTATGTATCACGCTGCTCATTTGAAATTATTACATTCCTTTCTAAATTAATAAAGAAAATGAAGATAAGCTAGAGTTTTAAATCTAAATTGACACTTCTAAAATAATAGCATAATCAAAACAATGAATTAATTTGTGCTGCTCTCACACAAAATTACCATTTTCGCCATTTTTCTTTTACAGATTTTATTTCATTTGATAGCTAGCAACTGTTAGCTATTTCTGAAAAAATTGCCGACTTTTTTTTTATTTTGTAACTTATTTATGCAATCTTTCGTTTTTTTCCTGATTTCCGCTGGTAATTTCTACGTCTACTTTCCTTTCTTTTTTCCTTCCTCTCCTTTTCTCTCTCTATCTTTTTCTCCTTCTACCAATTAGTTTTCTTTTTGAAGTCATTTTTTTTGCCCATTTTTTTGAGAATTAAGAAAAGAAACAAGCGATAGGATTTCATATGAAAGAATAATAAGATAAATTTCAAAAAAATTAATGGAAATTTGAAACTTTGGTTTGCAAAATATTTACATGTATAAATTGTTAAATTTTGTTTATCAAATTTCCATTTTTTAATTTTAATTTTATTCAATTTTCTTGACCTAACTGCATATAATCATTAGTATCTCTCATCAAATAACGTAGTAGCGATTAAGAGTGTGCAAAAATTAACTTAAGATAGAATCTGAGAACAATATAATTAAATCATAAATTTAGAATTGCATTAATTGATCTATCGTGATACTAACCAAAGAGCAATTACTGCTAAAAAATTCTAATTTGTAATAAAAATGCATAGTGAACTGTTTGCTAACCAAAGAAAAAACGATAACATTGAAGATGAGGAAGAACAATTGTAATAAAATGCTAATAAATAGCGATATTAATAATATGTGTGTTGAAAATATAATAATGATAATGATAACGGTGATAAGAATCTTGTTACTATCGTTTCTGCGTACATGAAATTCTAGTCAGTTATATTTCGAAAAACAAACTAATTGCTAATAGTGTAAATATGTGTTTAGTGTAAATATCGTGATAATTGAAAGTTAAAATGAAGCAGTTGGAAATGCTTTCGAATTTCTATTAATAATAACCTATCATTGTTACTATTGCTCTTGTTGATCAGTTTTATATATCATTAAAATCGCCATTCTCATTTTATCACCAACATTTTTTATTAGCATTTCTTATTTTTTCGTGTCATCAGATGTAAAATAGCTTCTGTAATTAGAAAATTACTTTTTATGTAATAGTTAATTAATTAGAGTTGTTAATTAATTAGAAAATTACTTTCTATGTACGAGGCAAAAGAAAGAAGAACGAAGTGTTTCGTTTTGTTTTAATGTCCTTAAATTGTACTAATTGACTGTTCTAACTTGTAACAACTGTTTTTAACAAATTAACAACTTTTCCTCAAAAATTTTGCAATCAATAAATAAAGACAGTACGATTGCAAGAAAATTATATCTTCTGTATGTTCCAATTATATGACTGACATTCTTTTATTCGTTTCTTATTTTTCTTTTCAAAAAAAAGATTTTTTTTTTGATTATTTGGGAATGAGAGGAAAAGAAAAAAATCTGGATATATATCAATGTTATATTCAATCATTTTATTATTTTTATCATATATATTTTGCTCTCTTATCAGCTATTTCATCAATGTTTCCTTCCTTTTCTGCCGTGTGAAATTTTGAGATAAATTATTTCTCATTTATCATTTATAAAGTCACATGGTAAAATTATTAGCTTTAACGTTTATCGAATATTTTTATCGAAAATTATATTTTTATATATTCCAATGATATGACTGACATTCATTTATTTGTTTCGTTTCTTTTCGATTTTTTTTTTTGATTAGCTGGGAATGAGAGGAAAGATCCTTTATCACTACAGTTATTTATTAATTTTTCCGCTTGACGAATAATGGGACATATTATCATTAGTTTTTTGCTATTACCGTGTTACGATATACGGTAAATCAATTTTTATTACTGTATTATTTTCATTACTGTAACCGTAGTACGCAGTAATCATATTATTAGTTACTTCCCTACCGTATTAGCAGCATGGTAAATCAATAGTCTTTTATCTTTATTTGTTGTATCATTGGTTCTTTTAGGTTATACTGTCAATTGTTAATTTTTCATGTTTGCTGTATGCAATATTATAGAAACTCGTAAAAGAATATTTTCATTGATATTCGAGTTTTGAAGAATATTTAATTTATTTTTATCAATGGAATTTGTTTCTTTTTTTATAGAAAATTTAATTCTTCGAAAGCTTTCCTCAGTGTAATCAACAAGTGATTAGAAGTTTTTAAGAATTGTTTAAAGTAATTCTATCAGTGCTATCCATAAATAAAACAAATCCATCGAAGAAGATGGCCTTCGTCTTCTTTCCACACTTTCTACTTTCTTTTCTCATTTTTCTTTTTTTGTTTTCAATATTTTGTTCAATGAAATAATGAAAAATTGCATGCGAAAATATAAGAAAATTGGAAAAAAAAAAGTTTTAAAATAATTGTAAGCTAGTTAATGAGTCATAACGAATACAACAAATTGGTCACTTTTTATTTTGTTTCAGTAAAGATGAACGATAAAGAAAGAAAAAATTCTCTATTTAGATCTCTCTTTTATTTGTTTTAAATTTCATCATTTTTCCATTCATTTTTTCTACTTTTGAATAAAATATGCTGTCAACACAATAGTTTGAATTTTTTGAATTTGAATTGATTTTTTTAGCGAAATCAATATTAATGAATATCTTTCTTGTGAGAAATACATTTCAATTCACATTTCGTTTATCTTTGTTTCAAT